ATAAATTATAAGTTTGCTATATCTACACTATATTTGTAAGTTTTTTCTAAGAGGAATATAAGCTACTTCCATCTGATGAAAAGTTGTTTGTAAAGTTTGATAAGAGCAAATTCAAATAAAATTTATTATAACTGGAAGACACATACAAAGCTCCTCCCTTACTATAAGCAAAATTATTAGAAAAGAGACATTATATAAATCTAAGGGTTACACCTAAATTTTATTGCATTTAATTAATGTAAATAGCTCCTCCATTAGAGTTTTTAGGATCGCTTAAAGAAAAACTCCAATTCTCTGTGAAATTTGTTTAATAAATATAAATATTAGCTAGTGAAATAGCTTGTATGTATAAGCCTCCTCCTTAAAGTGACAATCCACCACTAAAACTACTGCTTAATATTTTTAAAGCTGAGCATTGTATCATGGCTATACCTCCTAGAATACTACTACTATTGCCACCTAAAAACTGTAATTTTTGCTGGTAATTTGCAAGTATTGTAAAATTTGAGTACTGTATCTAAATTAAGCTTCCTTAGATATAAAGAAGATTATGGTTGGGATGATTCTAGGCATTCATTATTCTTGAATTTATTATTTCTAATTTCCCAATTACATTTTTCAAGTTAATTACTGTAGAATAAAAGGTTTAATTCTTTTTTAAATTTAAAAAGTGTAAATAAATAATTTTATTGGTTTTAAATTAAAATTTTACTTAAAGATTTATAGGTGGTTGAATTGTATTATAAGCTTATATATAATTCATATTAGTATATCCTTGCAAGATTGTGATTTAAGCAGCACTAAAAATTTGTATATTAAGTTTAATGCTTGCTAATTTTCTTAGAATGACCTAATTAAAAGTAATTGAATTGAAAGTTGCTTGAAATTGATTTGGGTCAAATTAGTCAGTAATTAATTAACTGACAATAAATAATATCTCATCAGCAATGATTTGATTAAATATTACACTTTTCATTTATATTTATTGTATCAAGTCTTAAATATTTATCAAGTTTAGTGATGTGCTTTGACTAAAATTATCTCCAAATAATATTGTTTATATGGAAGCCTTATTTACTCCAAAAGCTTATATGATTGTTATAAGTTATGGCTCATTAATATTCCCATTACTTAATAATAATGAATTTGTCTATCTAACTTAAATATAGTATATGTTGTAATTTTAGCTGTATTTGTTTTAAGATATGTTAAAATTACTAATTATCACTTCTGTTTTAAATTTACCGCTATAACTAAATAATAATTATTCAAAAGAGTTAAATGTATTATTAAACACTAAAATTTAGTCTATGCTAATCATTATTTAATCTTAGAAATCAAGTACTGGAGAAAATTAAATGAATTGCGCTTTTTCAAAATAATTTGATTAAATTATTATATTTTATGCTTTTATTGTGTTTACTTAGAACAACTACATTTTCACTTTTTAATATTAATTTTGCTAGCAATTTGAATTTGCAAAAGTAAAGTTTATGAGAGAAAAATACATAAATCTTTCTCCCTATAATATTTAAGAATAGCTTAAAAACGTAGAATTTTAGAACAGCATGTTTGCAACATTAGAAATGCTTGTAATTTCTTAGCCTTAATAATAGCTGGCAAAAACATGTGATTGATAACTGAGTGATCCATGCATAAATTTAAAATCTTAAATTTCTAAATCGCTAGGACTATCGACTGAAATAAACTTAGATTTTTGTGAAAAATCAGAATAGAAGATAGACAAATTTGTCAATTAGTAAGTTAAAAAGGTATGGTTAAAGTATGAATGAACATTTATAAGAGTTTATTAATAAAAGCTGCAGTTATTAAACAAAGTATTATTCATGATAAAGGTCCCATTAAAATTATAAAAATAAGTTTAAAGTTAGTTTATATATTAGCGTTAACACAAGAATGTTGTGTTCTAAAATTCTATGTTATTTATATGTTCTTCATATATTTTGAAACCGAAATTTTTGTTCAAATTTTTTGGCTTAAGATTTATATTTTAAATCTTAAAAGAGCTAAAGCCTTTAAAAGTAGCTATATCATTTTATAACATTACATAATCTGTTAAACTGTTTGATTAGTTTGCATTTAAAGTGATAGAAAGAGTCTAAATTGAAGGAATCCTATTTTTTATATTAGTGTTGATGTTTAAAGCAAAGTCCTAATCGCAAATTCTTGATTTATCAATGAAATTGATGGTAAAATCAATTTCTCTTAATTGAAGTTCATTATAGTAAACTATAGATATATCGAATTCTGGTTCATTTATTATAAGTTTATCAAGATTTATTTCATTTATTCTATATAAATTAAGTGGTTCATCAAACGTACCTTTACCTAACGGTTGGCTAGCTGTCCCACACTCTGCAAAAATCTCAGTTTTTTTCTTAAAATAGCACCCATTATCATTTTTTAAGCAATAAATGCATCTCTTTCTAGCTTTATCATATCTGATTTCATATTTTTACATATCTCCATAATTACTTGGTAGTTATTGTTTACATGAATAACATTTTACTTTATACAAACTTAAAGGATCTAAAACTAAATCTAAATTATTATCTTCACAAGTTTCACAACTATTAATAAATATTAAATTATTTTAATAATATAAATTAAAAAAAGAAAAATTTATTGATCTCTCTCCAAAAATTTATTTTAAAATTCTATTTGAAAATGATTTGAAATTAAAAATTCGTCATTTTATTTAAGAAAATAATTATTTTAATTTTAAATATTTTTATAACAAAATCCTATTTTAATTTTATAAATTATTATGAGAAATAAATTTAAGTGAATATCTTAGATAGATTTATCTACAAAAAATAATAAAATCTGAAAAATTTAAAAAAAAGGAAATTAAATAAATTTAAAAATTTACAGAAGTGGACAAATTTAGCAATTTTTTTATAAGGAATCAAATGTGACCATTTATTAGAAGTTGCTTAGAAAATTGGTTCCGTAATGAAGTTTAGATATATAACCTTAAATAGGAGCTATGAGATTGAAAAGTTTTGTGTAATTGCAGGATATACATAAAGGACTATCTTTAAAATTAATACAATTTTGGCAGTATTTACCACATTAAGGTTTTTAACAATTTTATTGTGTATAATCAAGAAAAGAACCAAATTTACAATCTGAGCACTTCATTTTTATCATAAAAACGTTTTTATAATTAAGCCTTTATTATAAAGAAAAATTGATTGTGGTTTAAGGTGTATTGATTATGTAGTTAGTAAAATTAACTCTTTAAAAGTTAATATATCCTTCTTCATAGCAGGTTTAACAAGTTTCAGGGCAAGGTATACATCCAAAAATGCTTGGAACATATCCTTAAGAACAAACTTTGCATTAATATGTATTAGCAGAGACAAAGCACTCAAGACATTTATATATCTTTATATTTAACCATTAATAAAATTCACTTAAAATAAGTAAATATTTACCTATTTTTTGCATTCAGTATTAAAATCACAAGATACACTACCTCCTTAATAAATAGCTGGAGATCCATTTATACAAGTATTTAATGTAGTTAAGGAGTAATAAGTAATGTTACCATTTTATACCTTTCTACAATTATAAACATCATCTAAAAGTTTTTAAATTGTAAAAAAACGATGATTAATAATTAACTAAAACTTTAAAATATTTTAGATTTTTTAAAAGTTCAAAGTTTAATCAATTTATATTTTGGTTATTTTGTTGGTATAATAATAAAATGATTTACTTGATTTTCAAAAAGTTAAAAAAATATTTTATCTTGAGATTTGTTTTTTGTGCAAAGTTAGTTAATTAGTATTTATATTAATAAACACTATTTATAGTTTTTAGAGTAAATTATGATAATACTAAATAAAATTCATAGAACTGAAAGAATCAAATACTTGTAAATTCTGTAATTAAAAAATTAATTTCTTAAATAAGATATAAAAAAATAAATTATGTGAATTTAATTAATAATAATTTTTTTATTTTTGGAAACCCTCTTTAAAATATTGAGAAATAAGGTTTTTAGTATTTAATCAATATTTTAAAATAAATACCCTATTCATTTTTTAGTGATTAAAAATTTAATAATCAAAATTGCTAACCTATAATCAAGGTTAATA